TAAAACCCCCCCCCCCCCCTTTTCTATGTTATAGATAGTTGGCCCTGTTTTCACAAAGATGAATAATGTACAGTTGGCTCAATCTTTTGGTTATATTGTTATTGGTTGTTGGCAAGTTAAAATGTTCTTGCTTGCCCTCTGAAGTTAATGTAATCTTCACATCAGAATTTTCCTTCCAACCTTGTGACCTATTTGGCTTGTTCAAAGTTGTATCTTTTAACCCAATTCCTTTTTGACTGATTCTTAAGATCATCTTCTCAATTACCATTCTCTCAAAACAGCTATAAGTTCTATATTACTATTGGGAATGAACGAGGAAAGGTCTAGGAGTATGATTAGTGCAACAATACCCAACGGTGCCTTGATGAGTTTTCAAACCTTTCACTTTCTATTTTATAAAGTATATCTTACCTTATCAGTTGAGCTCTTTGGAAGTTGATATAATAATGAAACCTCCATATTTGTTTATTGTACTCAAAAGAAACTTTTAATATCAATGACATATCTTAATGACGACATCCAAAGTTCCATATTTGTTTAATTGTAGCATCAAAGAAAACATCAAATTTTTGTATGAGTTATTCTATTTTATTGCACTCGAGTTGACCTACTGCTAACTCTTTGATCAGGTCCTTCTTCAACATAATCTCCCAAAGGGGAAAGGAAAAACACTTCCCTCAAATCATCAAACCATGGTACAAACCATTAGACTTCATCAATACTCTTTCTCTACGTCGATACGATATATTGGTTTAGAAAATAAAAACTTGACTTGTTCTTTGTTGCTTTGTTGTCATTGTCCTAAGATCACATCATATGGAGCTTTCTTGGCGCCCACCAATCATGCTTCATTCAATAGCGTTATATTTGACTTTTAAGCTTAGTTAATGCCATTTGTTTCGTTGGAACAACCCAATTCTTTTTGAGTGTGGAAACAAGTTTCCTCTTTTTTCTTTTTTTTTTTTTGGAAAGAATATATAAATTTACGAGCAATGTTGTGTAATGGCCTTCCACCCATTAACATAGCTCCTTTAAGAAATGCTTCTTTTTCTCCTCTTGCTCTGTTTACTCTGTTTCCTCTGTTTGTTCAGCCCTGCATCCACCTCTGAACTCTGTTTCCACTCCAGCTGCAATGGTGATTTTCAAACCATTCAATTCCCTTTCAGAATTGAAAACCAACAGCCCAAATCATGCGGGTATCCAGGCTTTGATTTGACCTGCCCCTCCACAGGTCAACCACTCCTCCATCTTCCTTCTTCAGGGGATTTCACTGTTCAGTACATAGATTACGAGAACCAAGAAATTTTGGTCAATGATCCAAACAAATGTCTTCCCCGAAAGATTCTGTCTCTCGAGCTTTCTGGGTCGCCGTTTCATGCCACAAATAGTGAAGATTTCACCTTCTTTAATTGTTCGTGGAGTGATCCAATCCCATCTGAGTTTAACTTGAATCCAATATATTGCCTCAGTGGGTTGTCGTATGCAGTTTTCGCATCACCTTCTTCATTTGTAAATGAGATTTTGTCGTCGAGTTGTGTTGCGATGAAGACTGTATCGGTGCCGTATTCATGGTCGTTTTCGGCGGATTTGACGAATGATCTTCGATTGGGGTGGAAAAAGCCTAATTGTAGAAGGTGCGAGTCACAGGGTGGAATATGTGGCCTCGCACCCAATTCTACCGATCAAATCCAATGCAAACACAGTGCTCAACCTCGACATGGTATGCTTTCACTTCTCCCTCTACCTCCCTTTAGTGCTTTCAACATTTTACAAAAGAACCCACCTTGTAAATTTCAAACACCTTACAAGTATGGATGTTCATATAGGAGTGTGTGAAGAAAAAGCTACCATTTTTCATATTTATTTTTGTAGTTCCAATAAGTAATTTTTATTTATTTATTGACTAAGTTGTGTTTTGACTAGTAAATTGGATAAGAATAAACTTTTAATAATAATAGATTTATTTGCATCAATTGGGTAGGTAAGCTCACATTTTTTTTATTTTTTTATTTTTTTATTTTTTACAAAAATTAGTATAAAAGTATTTTTAAAAAATAATTATTGAGGGTGGTTGATCCACCTTACAATAAAATAGGTAATAGACTTTTGGTTAGGATCAATTTTAAAGAATATTTAATGTACATTTAAATGAATATATAGTTTTAAAAAAATTTATGTATAAAGTAAATGTCGACTTACGCACGTCTTGATACGATTTTTTGCCCTAATCCTAGCGTCACCATATTGTTATAGTAATTTCCTTTTAGTTAGGGGGTGAACTATGTAAATTATTAATTGTAATATATGATAAATATATATTATTTTTTTTTAAAAAAAATTATTATTAGGGATCCCGAGAGGTGCTCGCTATGCTGTATCCATAGGAGTGGGAGTCCCAGTGAGCATGTGCATTTTGGGCTTCTTATGTTGCTTTTGTGCTCGAGTCGGATCCTACTCGAGAGGCCGAAACTCGAGCATTGAGGCCCATTGGGTCATCTCTTCTCGGCCCACTTTAATGGGCCTAGATGAGCCCACTATCGACTCCTATCCAAAAATTGAATTGGGCGAAAGCCTGCGTCTACCGAAGCCCAATGACAATATTTGCGCAATTTGCCTGTCGGAATATCGGCCCAAAGAGACTGTGAAGAGTATACCCCAATGTCAACATTTCTTCCATCAAGATTGTATTCATGAATGGCTGCGATTGAATCCCTCCTGCCCTGTTTGTAGAATGCCTCCCGTCAAATCTCCGCCGTCCGATTCTTCCCTCTAACACCGTCCGTTGTAAATACTTCAGATTTTCTTTTTCTTTTTTTTTTTCCTTTTTCTTTAAGGCTAAAACTTAGCTTTTCTAAAGACCTACAAAGTGATGTATTATGGGTCTTTGGAATTTTTTGTATTCTTAGAAAAAAATGTTTTTTTTTTTTTTTTTTTTTTTTT